ATAGCTTCATATTAGATAGATTTCTAATATTAGTAATATTATGTAATATTCTTTTATAATCTCAAAAAATTTCTTATTATTTATTAGTATTTTAATCCAAATAAATACCTTAGAAACCTTCAAAAAAGTTTTTAATTTAAAAAATTTTAATCCAATTTTTTTAATTTTATATTAAATAAGATAAAAAATTAATATATTTATATATATATATATATATGATAAAATTGATATCTAAACAATAAGTTTGTAATAATAGAATGATAAATAATTATTATAACATATCCTTGTAGATATAATTTATAAGTAAATTCTTTATTTCTAGCAATAAAATTTGTATTCTACAAAGTTTTAATATATGAAAAATTATGCTCTTAGAAAATATACATATAAATGAATTGTGTAGTATTTTCTATCAAACACAATTTGATATTAATGTGGCACTCAATTATTTAATAAAGAATATAATTACATAGAATTATCTATGAATTGTAGAAAGTTTTTTTTATATTATTATATTATTTTCATTATGTCTTCTATGCTAATATAGATAACTATTGTCTTTTTTGTAAGTCTAATTTTTAAACAAGAAGTTTTATGTGCTAAGTTTTCAACTTTAAATAATTAAATCAGTTTAATGTAGTTTTGAAGTTAAACCAATTTCAAGTAATCAACTAATATTTGTAGTATTTTTAAAATAATTATTATGATATCATTGTTGATAATAAAATGAATAATTTTACCTGATATAAATTTATTATTATAATATGATTTGAAAGAAGTACTTAATGTTAAATTCGATATTCATACCTTGATTAGAAACCATCATGTATATTTTTTTTAGATTTATATATATATATATATATATATATATATATATTTGAAAATGATGTCTTAGAGGCATCTATTTTATTTTTCGTTTTATCTTGGTCTGGCTTAAAATACGCTCTAAGTGATATTTTTTCAAATAAAAATAATGCAAATAATATCATCCACTGATTGTTTTGTTGAATTTTGAATTATTTTTAATCAAAAAGTTATAATATAATAATACTTTCAAATAAGAGATGAATAATATGATTAAAATTGTAGTTGCTAAAATTTGATGAATGAACCTGACAATATATTAGAATATGATCATGTGTGTTTCTCCTCTTCTATTGCACTGTATAGTAACAATTAATGAATGTTTATTTTAGTATCAAATTTTGATATATAATAGTTGAGTGCAAAATAAGATGACTTTAAACAGTAAAAATAAATATTTTATCTGTAATTTGTTTAGTGATATATTTTCATGATTGTAGATTGTTTTTATTTAGCATATATATATATATATATATATATATATAAATGATTAACTAAATACAGATTTGGTTTTAATATCACTATGTATCTCTATTTTAAACATCCATTTGATCATTTACCTAATTATCAACAAAATTGATCAAATTGAGAAACTAAAAGGTTACATACATTAGTTTTGATAAGTTACAACAGAATGTAAAGAAACGAAATGATGGTCTTAGACATTGATCAATCATAAATGGTTGATAAAATGCAATCAAACACACTCATCTGATGGGCAGTTTTCAAAATCTTTCAAGTGAAGATACATTATTGAAATAATGTTACTAATGATAGATCCAAAAAACACAAAACTCAAAAACAATAATGTATGCATTAACCTCAACTGTGGCTGAACATCGATTGCAAGCATCAAACATGTTTAAAGGCTGAAGGGTTGTGTTCTGAGATTAATTTAATGAGCTGATCAAAATACAATGAATTGTTTTCATTTTGGTGCCCCTCATCTAAGCATTGGAGGACTTCTCCCAACTTTTATCAACAACCATTTACCTTTGCATTTAATGAAGAAAGAGGAGGACCTCATGTGCTTCACACCCACCTACCCATGATGCCAACTCATATTCTCTCATTGTAAGACAATCTTTTTCTTCTCACATTGGAAAGTTATATTTGCCAAGGGAATGAATACACAATGAATGGCTCATTGCAACCCATGCATTTCTCTTGCAAGCAATGTTTTCTTGCATCCTTTGAGGAGTTCATCCATGAAGACCTCAAAAGTTGAATGAGGGAATTATTGTATATTTTTGTAATTGCTTTTCATTTGTACATATTTGGTTAGGGCTTGGGATTTATGGTTTAGGGTCACAGGTTAAGGTTTAGGGTCAAAGGCGATGGTTCATAGATCAGGATTGTAAGGGGGCAATTAGTCCTATAATATATATATATATATATATATATTGAACAGAAATGAACAGAAATGCAAGAGGTGTCATTCTGGTGAGAAGTGAGTCTCCCACCAGAGGACAGACATATTTGCCAATTGGGTTCAAACTTGTAGCTGTACCTCTTGCTTCAAATGTGAGCTCTTTTCCATGCCTGGTCTGCATACAAGTATGCAAACAATCAGACCCATTTGCTCATTCAAGTACAATTCAAATTATGCAGATGAGTCGAAAAAATAATATATAAATGTGTACTTCTCTTATCACCTCATCACAATCCTCCAACCAACTTGACATGAAGCACCAGCATATCTTTTGTGGTGTTTGGCTGTTGGCTGAATTTGGATGTGTGTGCTATGTAATGTACTGATGTTAGTGATGTAGATGAGTCCAATTGAATTTCTAAGGCCAGATTGGTTGATTATACAAATTTAGTTGAACCAAAACAACACCAGATAAACTAGGCCATCTTTTTAATTGTGTGGGACAGTACGTATGTATGTATGTATGTATGTATGTATGTATATGTGTCATAATGGACCCACAAAAGCAGAGATCACACATGGTTGTTGAAAGTCATATTCTTCACCCATCACATCTATTATCTAAATTTCTTCTTGACTACCCTCACAACGACAAGCTTGTTCTTGGCAAGGAGTGTCTTCTCCAGAATAGACTATAACAAAACCTCCTGAAATTTATTCAACATTTTCTTTAACAACTTTGCAACTTCTTTTCTTGTATTAGATCATGTTAAACTTTATCTAATTAAGTCAATTGCAAAAAACAAGCTCAGACCCAAATTCAACAGAACCAATAATTTCATTTGCAACCCATACAACTTTGAAAAAAATTAGGTGCCTCTGCTTGTTCATAGTATCATCAAATGCACTTAACAGGGAAAAGTATTCCAGTTGCTATCCAATTGGATTTCCCACTTCTGGGACATCCATGGATCAGCTTGGATGCTCTAGAAGTACTTAGCACTCAATTTGCCTGCTTTCCATACCCCCACAATTCTACCAATTTTGTGCAGCTCTTCTGAAGCTGAAGTTGGAGACAACTTTGCCTCCTTCAGCCACATTGCAAACTCCATGTCTTTTTTTTCAAAAATAGACCTCCCCAGAATTACTATCACCCTGGATAGTTCACAGTGTTGAGACAATAGAACAGTCTTTCTCTAATAGAGCTAGCCAGCTTCATACATGTGATATAAGTGCAACCTTTGGTACATTTGCTGCAATGAAAATGATCATGACAACAGCTTAGTTGAATGAAGTCCAAAAGAGTACAGTTTACCCAAAAGCAAAATGAAGGGGCAAAGCTTCCATCCAGCAAATGCAGGCTCCACAAGTAAAATGCCTGTTGACTTGTGCTCTGCAAAGGGAGAGAGAAAAGGGAGAAGGAAAAAGAAAAGCAGGAAATTCCTTTGCGGAAAGGTAAGAGAACAAAATGAATCTTTATTTCGTTTCGTTTATTATTTATTAATATTTTTGACACAGCCGGGGTATGGCCGGGGTACAGGCTACCTTCTGTGCTTCATTTCCTTCTGGTCCCTTGCGTTTTTGTGCTCACTCTTAAATGATTGGTACTTCCCCTCATGTCCGAGAGACTCTTTCTACTTGTTTTATACCTTTTTTTTCTAACGGTCAAGCAGCGTCTACTCTTCATCACTGCTTTCCTCATTTTAAGAGTGAAAGGTATGAGTGCGGTCAGTCTGGTATTTGAAACACTGAAAGAAACACTCCCAGTCGCAATAAAAAGATTTAAAACTTGAGGAAATGTGGACGAGGTTGAAAATGCTAACATATGGGAGATCTCCATCGCTACATGCGCTCCTGCATCTTCTTCAAGACGTTGGACCTAAGAGCCGCGGTGTTCCAGAGAAAGAGAGCCAAAGCACAAGTCACTGCTAAAAATTAAAGGGGAAAACTATACGCCACTGCTTCTACGATAATTTTGAACAGAATTCAGGAACGTAGGATCCAGACCAGAATATGAGGGCTTCTAAAGACAGATTGCCAACAACACATGTAGATGGTACGCTAACTGAACCAGAACGGCGAATCGATTTTATAAAAGTTCTAGTGCAGATGGCTTGCAAGCAACAACTATCAGACAAGTGAAAATCATGTCCACGATGTGGGAGAGGTTGTGAAGTTGAAGCAGCACAGTATTCGAAGAAGTACATCCAACAACAAGAGCTTCCAAAAGGTGGGGGGATGATAGAGAACAGAATCCGCGGTGCAGGGGGCGATATGGAAGCAGAACCCACGAGAAAGTCACGGCGAGCGCGAGAGCGAAGAAAAAGGACAGAATGAATGAAGGAGGGAAGGAAGGAAGGAAGGGTGGAAGGGGTGCTGCGGGGTGGGGATAGACAGAGGTGTGGTGGCGAAGACAGACAGAGCGAGCAAGCAAGCAAGAAAGCAAGCGAAGCAGGGTTCACGGCAGGGCACGCAGCTTTCCCTCCGCACAGGACCCCCTCCCTTCCATCGTCCGTCCGTCCGTCCGCCCGCCCCTCTGCGTTGCTCTGGTATGAGTGCGGAGGACGGGTCGCTCGAAGACGCCGAGGGTCCACCACGGATGCATGAACGAAGGAATGAAAAAAGAAGATTCGTCAAGGCGGATGGATGAAGAGAAGGGTGACGAGGCTGCCGCGCTGGATCTCCCCCCGGGTCCTCCTCCTCCCAGCAGGGCAGGGCAGGGCGAGGGAAGGGCACTCACTGACTTGGAGCATCTTCTCGCAGAGACTAATCTCCCCTCTCCTCCCTCTCCCCCTCCCCTCGCTCCCTTCGCTTCGCTTCCCTTCTCTTCTCTTCCTTTCACTTCTCTTCCCTCTCTCCCTCGATTGTAGTGTTGCTGTGCTGCTTGTATTTCCGCTTCTCTTGTGAGATATCACAATGGTGAGCTCTGCTTCAGGGGAACTTCTCTCTCATCTCTCATCTCTCTGCTTATGAATGAATCTCTGTGTGCAATTGGCGTCCTCCGAATGTCCTTTTCATATCTTGCTTGCTTGCTTGGATTTTCATGATCTTTTGATTCCTAGTTCAGTGAACTCGGTAGATTTTTTGTTAAAGTAAGGTGAAAGAATCTGAAGCGAATGGTTTTTAATTTTTTTTCCTTTTCCATTTTTTTTATTTGTTTTTAAGAACAATTCTGAAAGGGTTTATATTAGGAAGCAATGCGGTGTGCAGGCAGAGCTTGGGGAAGATTGTATTGTAGTACAAGAGTCAAGTGAATTTAATGTTTCAAAATAATGGTATTGTCGATGAAGCTGATGCCTGGTTGTGCGTCTACATGTTCAGAATTATCTAATTGGGGCATTTGGACCCCCTTGCACTATATCTATTTCTTTTGCCGATGCTGAGACGCGCAAGCAGGCGAGTTTCAAGAAGGAGAATGGACAGACAGTCTTGGTTCCTCTCTTTCTTGGACAAGAAAGCGTTGTTGGCGAGGTCAGTCACTCTTCTCGTGATTTTTGTTAGTTTCACAATAGAGGACTAAGTGCCATACTCTGCTGAATGTGGTTCTCTGCCTTGTGTTTGACCAGTTGTTTCTATATCAATTGGCAGGGTTCTAGATATGTTCTCAGCTTATTTCAGTTTGATGGATGGTCTGCACAATCCGGATACTAGTTTACTTTAGTTACTTTAGCTCTAATGAATACTCTGTAACTGTTTGCAGGTGCGAATTGAACCCTTGCCTGGAAAGAAATTCGAGCACACGGGGGTAAAGATCGAGCTTTTAGGGCAAATTGGTACAATCTCCATCTCTTCTTTCTTTGAATTTTCTTTACTTTGTGTGGCCCTAGTGAATCTTTTTCCATGTTAAGGTTGTCGAGGACCACAAAGTTAATATCACGTCATATGCTAGGTGGAAATCCGATTTTTTAAGTAGTTTCCATCGTTTATTATTCATAAGCTTTGGAGTTTTAATGCTTTGTCTCTTCCTGAATTTGGTGCAGAGCTATATTTTGACAGGGGCAGTTTCTACGATTTCACATCCCTTGGTGAGTGAACATGTGCTACTTGTGTGATTTATCTGACGTTAACATTTTACACAATTATGTCTATGACTCTGCGATACCTTCTCTATTGTTTGACAGCCCAGGGACTTGAAATGCAGTGAGGGAGCTCGATGTACCCGGCGAAATTTTGGAGCGTAAGACGTATCCTTTCGAATTTTCTACTGTTGAAATGCAGTACGAGTCCTATAATGGTGTCAATGTGAGATTGAGGTAAAATGCATTTACTTAATAAATTTACTTGGTTCATGGTTTCATTTGATCATCTGGAAGTAGCTATTTATGCAGACGCTCTATAGGATCAGATTTAAGTAGTTTCTAGCAGTTCCTACCATGGTCCAGCTGCATCATAATAGTTTGGTTTGAGCACCCTATTACATGCCGTATTCGTTGTTACATCTGCTGTCATTGATTTTTCTCTTGACAATCTTGTAGGTACATATTGAAAGTCACAATCAGCAGGAGTTATGCAACTAACATTGTAGAATACAAAGATTTCTGGGTACCATGTTCACGCTCACTTAATCCTTGCTGTTATCTAAGTATGTTAAATTGCTTCTATTTGGCAAGTTAATAAATGTAAGGTCTGGGTATAGACACAGTAGAAAGAATTTTGAGAAGTCATGTTGTCGTGATTAGAGTTTCTGTTATTGGTGCTGTTTGTGAGGTGTTCTTCCTGTTGTGGCCACTTTATTTTGTAGGGTCTTGAAGGTTGAAATTTTGAGTAACGTGAGAGGTTAATGTGCAGCCTAATTTTGAGTAATGTGAGAGGCTGTACATGTTTTACATGAGCAGGTGCGGAACTTCTCACCTCAGCCCGAGATCAACAATAGTATTAAGGTGAGTGTTCACCAGAGCGGTGAATTGTTTGGTTAACATTTGTAGCCTAATTTCACATGCTATTACGCAATTCTTCCTGAAAACAGCTATATAGGCAACTGAAGTGAGCCTATTTAGGTTTTTATCTTGGAAGTCCTTGTCAAATGCTTAAACTTGGTGTGTTAAAAATATCGAGCGCACATACTGCTCTTCTAACGTGCTTCCATGATGAACATTTTTAAGTAATCGTTGTGTATGCACCATAACTTTCTCCACAATATTCTTAAGGTTGTTCCTATGCTGGAAATAGAAGGGATTATTTCAAAGACATTCGTTCAAGGCGTTTAGACTTTAATGACTGTTCCTTGATGTTATGTTTATAACAGAAGTAAATTTTATTCAGTGTCTCATCTTAATGTGTCTTAATACATGGATGATAGATGGAGGTGGGAATCGAAGACTGCTTGCACATTGAATTTGAGTACAGCAAGAGCAAGTAATTTTTACCCTTCAAAGTCTTTGTGCTCTACATAGTTCTCTATAAAAGTGTAGAAGTACAGTAAATTGTCGTGGTCACAATTGAATATTCTGAGAAAGTCTTGTGCTCCTTTCAACTCCTAAATTGCTCCAGGAAAATGCAGTTTCGAATGAAGCATTGGGATGCTGCTTCATTCTCTTTTTGCTGTTATATTGTATTAAATAACCTGAAATTGTTCAAACAGGTATCATCTAAAGGATGTGATTGTGGGCAAGATTTACTTTCTACTTGTCCGAATCAAGATCAAGCATATGGAGCTGGAAATAAGAAGGCGAGAGTCTACTGGATCAGGTCCTAACACTTACAATGAGAGCGAGACACTAGCCAAGTATGAAATCATGGATGGCGCCCCTGTCCGTGGTGAGTATCATCCAGAGGCATCTTCTAGTGAATTTATCATGCTTCGTTCATTCATGTACTTAACTGTTTATGTCGCGTACCTGTACTAGTGTTGGCTTGGCCTCATGGTACTCGCACTGACGATTTTGCGGTGACTAACCCAAACTACTGTTTTGTAGGGGAGTCGATTCCAATCAGGTTATTCTTGAGTCCTTATGATTTAACGCCAACCTACAGGAACATCAACAATAAGTTTAGTGTGAAGTATTACCTTAATTTGGTCTTGGTTGATGAAGAAGGCCGGCGTTATTTCAAACAGCAAGAGATTACCATGTATCGAGCAGAATAAGTTGAAGTTTCAGTATTGCTGCTTTTGATATTTCCTGATATGTCCATGGGCTGGGGTCAGTCTCTCCACATGCTTTTCATTAGAATAGATAGTGACTTCCAACCATTGTGAAGGGGAAACATCGGGATTTACGCCTCACATGCAGGTCAAGTGAAGATGTTGCCTGGAGATCTATCAGTGTGCATAATTGTCAAGCGCTTTTCAAAATCTTGATGCTCAATTCTCAAGTTCTGAAAGGGATGTGTGCATCTAGTTGGAAGAATTTCGCAATGTCAGTTTGTAGTAGTTCACGTGCTGTAGTGATTCTGTCCTTGAACTCCCATTTTCATATTGTAAGTATGCATTTGACATCAATACTTGCAGTTAATATTAGTAAACAGTGAGCGTTTTGCCTTCGGAGTTCGTAGGTATGTTTAGTTATAAGGAACATGTAAATTTAACCAGTTGACCCAATTTTGATAGCGGTCAAGTTTCCCAGCGCTATTGATAACCAGTTGACGTTGCAAGTTTTCATTTTAGAAACTGGTTTTTTGATTCAATTTGGTTTAAGGTACTCATCCAACTTGTCAAGTTTCGTGAATCAATATTTTATTTTCAAACGTTCTTGTCCAGTCCTCTCGTTTTAAATTGGAATGATGTTTAGATTTGAGGCTGAAGAATTCACTTAAAGAATTCCTACGGTAATGTCGTAATATTTCGTCTGGAAACTTCGAGTATCTTGGTTAGCATTTTGTGCTATGATATCCATTTTTCAGTTATAGACAATGAATTTCTAGTAACTATATCTCTATTCGATTTTTAATTTTGCCGTATTTTACTGAAGTGCAATGGAAAACGCATCTGGCGCATGGGATTAGGGTCACTAAATTGCAGTGAGATCACGAAATAAATAGCTGAGAAGCGAGGGGTAAATTTTGTATACTGGTCTCCCACATCTCTGAAACGTCAGAAATGACTTTGTGATAGTCACCTTAAAATAGAACTTAGTGGCTATTGTAGCCGTCAAGAGCCATAGTAGATGCAATCAGTCTCTTTGTGTGTTTTTGCAATCTCTCTCTTTGTCTCTTATAATAAGTTGCCATTTCTACTTAACAGTGTTGTGTAGCTGAGCTCTTTGCATCCCATACTAACTAGAAAGTGGTGGCATTGTTTTTTGCAAGTATGAATTTGTAAAAATGAGCAACCACTTGTATTTGACAGATGCATGTTGTTCACTTCAAAATTTCAAAATTTCATTTTACTTTTGTGTGGTCATTGTAACACTGAGGTTGGCTTGCTAAGTAGTGTTGTTTTATTTTTGTTGAATGTGGCCTTTGATTAATAATTGATAGCTGGTTTGTCATTGTGTTAATCTTTCTTTGGTAATTGTACAATGTTTAGTGTTACAAAAAGAAGAAGAAGAAGTTAATTAATTAATCTAATATTTTTTCCTGTATTTATGTAATAATTATTTTTTTGGATTAAATTGATTATAAGTTACGTAACTTTAGTCATTTGTAGATGTGGTATTTCAAAGTGTCTTACTAACCATACAAAGCAATCTCCATCAAAGTGCCTCTGATTTTTATGGTGTTAATAGTTGGTATCTGGTTTTTTCTGATTTCAATCTATGATGGCCAAATTCTTTAATCTTGTATAATTTAGACGGTTGAGCCTAATCAAGTTATCTATTACAACCTCTATTTGTATTGTAGTTGTGAGAGACCCTTTTAAACAACCAAATTAAATAACAAATACTGTCACAAGAATGTCACAATTAACCATTGCATTTTTCAACAATTGACCAACTGCTTGTGATCATATTGATTGATTATATTGATTTTAAATTGTGACATTTTACCAATTCCTAAAAGCATGTATCCTACTAGCTGTGCATAAAATTGGTTCTGGTCTTCAGGGTCTTGAAGAAAATCAATATTAAAATATAATTGATATCACAGAGTGCTTCAAAGGTATATCTCAGTATGCTAATTTCCCCCAAATACTTCTTCGTATGAATATGAAGTGGCATTTCTTTTGAATTCTGTGAACCAGACTACTTTCAGAATTCCATTGACGGATTCAGTTAAAGAAAATCTAGCTTTATGTGTTTTGTGCAGGAATGATGAGCCTTGTTTTATTTACCAAAATGTTTCTGATAGCAGTCTGATTTTGGCAGGTGGATATTTCAAGGGTGGTGAATAATGATTGTGCTCACCAAGTGTGTGCAGGAGTTGCACAAAACTTTTTGGCCTGATTCTAGTAAAAGTATGCCAGAAAATGGTCATTTGTATGAATTAAATGCTGTGTTTAGAAATTCTGAAATTCCGAAATTCTGAAATCGGAAATGCACAAACATAATTCCGTTGTCATCTACTTGATTTCAGCAGGGCATCTCTTACACTTGCTTCAGCTGTTTGATTACAATTTAGCAATCTTTTTAGCGGTTTCAGAATTTCGGAAATTCAGAACTGATTGCAGACGTTGCTGAATTCAAGACGAGTCACGCTTGTGAAATAATCTTCATGACTTCATGACACTGATTGCCAGCTTGCTACCAGCACTGCTTGATACAGCTACAATCGTGTACAGAAAAGGACCACATCGCCGTTGCCGAGTTGTGAAAGATAGCTCCAAGTCATGGCGAAGGTCAGACAAGGAACCAAGCCGTCGCATTTTCCAGTGCAAGGAAAGGTATCATCCATGTAGAGTCAGGAGGTCAATGCCAAAGCACTCGCGGGGAGTCGTAGCTCAAGTTGGCAACGTAAGCATTGCTCAAAATACACAAGCATAAAAAATCCAAGTGTAAATCGGTTGGAATACGGGAGAAGACTTTCAGATAGCAAAGAGAAAGAAAGCCATGGATCAACCCGTTCAACGTGAGACCGTCAAGTCAATACTAATTGCCCTTGACTTGACAGGAGACTAACTCACTATTTTCTATAAAGGAGTCTTGTTCAGAATGGATTCTTGTTTTACACCGGTGGAAGTTGGTCGAGATTTGTCCGACTCCAGAAACGCCATCTTCTGCAAAATTTCCATGATTTCCTTTCGAATCTGATGTGCAAATAGTAAATACGTCAACCTCTAATCAAGCATTGATGATTCGGCACATAAGTTCAACAGGTGCTGACAACAACATCTCAAGCCAGCCTGTCCAATTCCAGACTGCCTACCAACTTTATAAAAGCACTATACGAATCATCAAGTAATCGAATTCATTCACAAATGTCGGTGCTAAACACGAGGAGAGTTGACATACCCATTCCATCTGCTGTACAGTTACCCCACGGGCAGTGTTTGTAGAATACATCCCTTGCAAGACCTGTGATAACACCAGAAGTCAGTATCTTAGTTGATCTTTTAAAAGAGCAACTCAGTACTCAACACTAGTAAAACATTTCATTATATTGACGGAACCCATTGTGTGAATAGCACATTGCAATAATACCTTGTTGACAGTTTGTATTAACAGGCCTGGACGTACGGGGAGAACTGGAGGTGGTGGCTCCTTCTTTTTGATTATCTGTGTTACAAACACACCAAAGGTAAGCAAAACATGTCACTCCTCCAGGCTCATGTTGCATGCTAATCACTTCACATTAAATCATGCGCTAATAAATAGACAATGTTCGAGTTGGATTTAGGTGCTATTCAAACGCTATTGATGAAATCTATACATGGCCTTTGCAACTGGTATATTTGACATAACCAAAGTCCAGAGGTATGGAAGTTACGCTGTTGGATCTGGCTACGTAGTTATCAAGTTGACGAACTTTCTCCGGATCCAAAATATCTTGACCTTCATCTTGTCCTGCCAACACCCTGGCCAGTTTCTTGTGCAATTCGGGGCCAGGTTTCATTCCAGTAATCTTTGTCAAAAATTCCACCTGCATACATACATACATGCAGCTTCGTAAAACTTGTGCGCATATATTTTCAATAATGAACTTCAGTATCCAGATCACTTACTACGTGCAATGGAGAAGTATACAATCCGTAATTTATACGATTACTGCGATTACCTCTGGTTGAGGAAGGTTCTTGCGCTTGTTACTTTCAATGCGTTCATCTTCAAGTCCACCACCGAGCATACTACGAGCTTCCTCTCTGGCCAACACAAGCCTTGCAAGTAGCCGCCTATCCTCCACTTTAGCCTTTTCCTCTATGGACTGCCACCACCACGACAAAGCTCTGTGCCCTTAGCTAAGCCAATCCAACCAATAGTCCATCTCTTTCGAAAAATTAAAACGTTGCCGCGAAGTCAAGCCTGCATACTAATATTTCTCCGTTACGAGGATATCGGGGAAGAAAAAGAAAAAGAAAAAAAGAATACACATTTAAATATACCGCAATAATGTCATCTGCCTGGTCCCCAACGTCGTTGAGGTTCACCGCGGGTAATTCAATTTTTCCTCCTCCCACTTGATCGAAGGTTCCTCCTCCTCCAGCACACCGCCTGAGAACTTCTAAACGAGCATCTTTGTCAGGAGTGCGACACAATATACCAACAATTTGCACCTGCAAACCAAGAACAAGAGCTCGAATTAGCTAACACCAGCTTTCCAATCCAGGCACAGCACATGGAAAACCATGAAGCACACGAAAAGTAAACCAATATAAAAGGGAATGCTCGATGTACTAAATAACATTAAAAAATAGTGTAAATGTGACATTCGAAATAACAGGGTTAGAAGTATTGAAGAAGGGCAACCATAATAAGCAATGACGTACCAGTTATTCATGAACAAACCTCAAGAGTAAAAAAATTGAGAGGACAATCGAGTGTCATCGAGAGGGCTAACCTGAGATGGGAATTTCTGCGTAAGCTGAGCAAGTACAACGTCCTTGATGACCTCAAGCAACCATCGTTCCTGTAACAGATAATTCAGTAGCGACGACCAAGTTTGTCTATGAAATCTTAACAGCTATGAGCATTGGCAACATACAACCTCAACATCGGATGGTCTCAATCTGGACATGAAAACAATGGCGGAGATCCTGAACCCTAAACCCACACCTCACTACAAAGGTGAATTCAAACGAGAATAGGATGCCCGTAGATCTGTAAGATTATGATGATTGCCATTTCAACTATGATTTAGTTGGAAAAAAACACTGCTAGCATGCTTTTGAGTACCCGTAGATATATCATCTGCGGCAACAAGCTATTCGGTCCGAAAGGAAAGAGCAGTTAACATACTCTGTCGTCATGTTCTGCCTGCTGAATCATGTAGTCTAGCGCCATAAGGAAGCTCTCGTCGAGCTTATCGAGGCGCTGCCCAACAACCCCGGTAGCTGCCATCTCCACTGCTACCTGCTCCCCCTGTTCTCCCATTTTCGTTATGTCTTGTAACTGTCGCGCCCCAATGCCCCAAGAAACATCATTGACCGGTCAAAAGCTCAGCAACTGTATGGGAACTGATCTGAGATGCGTATAAGGCAGAGTAAGAATTGGTTGCAGGACTAGAAAGTACCGCCTCGGACAGAAAATACTGCCTACGTCTTCAATTGTCTTGAATTGCGAAACTTAGATATAAAATATAACTCCTCCTCACCTCTGGGCGACGTCAAAAACCTACTGAATCTAAGCTAGATAATTCTACTTGACCCCACATAACCAAAACCCACCGACAAAAGCCCAAGACCATAATTCGCATCTCAATTGCCCTCAACGTATGAGAAAAAAAGCACGAGAGGATGGAAGAGTCGCACTCACAAGCTCCACCATTTCCTTCATGACGGACATTACTTCCTCGCCACCACGCATCAAAGCATTGTAGAGCCTGTAATCGACCTTCTCCTCCTCCTGCTCCTCGCGTGCCTCAGGGCTGTCAGCAGCTCGCGCCCGCCCACTTGCTCTCCTTGTGCGCTCCACTGCGTAGCCCCGATGCCGCCATCCAGTGGAGCTCCTCTTCCAGCTCGCACTACAGGGAACAGAAGCCCCACGAGAGGAAATGGAAACTTGCGAGGCGGGAGCAGAAGGAGAACACAGAGCGGGGAGAGTGGATTTCTGCAGCGCGAAAGCGCGCAACTGCGCCGCGGACTTGAGGAGGCAGGCATCCATGGCTTTCCTCAGCTCTGGCGCAGCAGAGCAGCAGCAGCACCGAGAGAGGGAGGGAGAGAGAAGCGGGCTCAGCGAAGCCGAGAGGGATAGACAGACGGACTCTCTCACACACACCCAGCGAGACTCAGAGACCGAGCGCGAGACCCAGCGAGCAAGATTCGTTGATACTAGGATGATGAATAATCATAGATTATAGTATCCCAAAATGAGAGACATTGAGCGTCGTGGTAGGGTTTAAGCCAGTCCTCATTCCATCCATCCATCCACCCATCCATCCATCCACCCATCCATCCATCCTGAGTCCACCCCCCTCCTCCCTCTGTTGCCTCGCCAATGCTTGTTCCACAATTTCTCTCTCACTCGCTCTCTCTTTTCAACTCTCAGAATGGAAACCACTTAACACCAGAAGTGAATATTGAAATAAAAGTAAAGTAAAAATAAATAAAAATAAAACCTTAATGCTGCAACAACTCTCTCAACTACCCAATTCTCACTGCGTAGTCCTAGCTTGCAAAACCTTATTTCATCATCGTACACCATTTTTTATATGTAGTGATTCTTATTCTTAATTAAAATGTATTCTGCGTACTACACTGTAATTTAATTTCACTTGATCTAATTGTGTTGCTTTTTCAGAACCTCGAGAAGAAAAAAGAAATAAATGCTACAGCTTTGTTGTCATCACCATAAAACCAACTCTGTTGTTCATTTTCTAAAGCTGTTCTATACCTTACCATGTCATTTCTCTTCTTCTTTTTTCAAAAATAAAGATTTGTAAAGATTAATTGTAAAATAATAATACAATGATAACCTTTTAAAAAAAACTCTTCAATAAAAAAAATATCAATGACACTAGGAATCATATATGTGTTAACTTAACATGTCTTAAACACATATAATTAAAACCAACTAAGCTTGTATTTATCCAATGTTAAAATTTGTGATTTTAATATGAAATAATTTATTAAGTGTCTTTTTATACATCACCCTTTTTATTGTTGTAAGTCTTTGGTTCTATTGATTTTCTCAATTGGGTTGCAGAAAAAGCAAAACCAATATATTTTGTGGTGCAAAAAAATTCTAACTTTTTTAGTGGGTTTTAGTAAAAAAATGTGTGTGAGACTATCTATGCTAAGTATAATCTCATCTTTAATACCTACTCTTTAAAAACTAAAATAAAACAATTATACCAAAAAGAAACACGAATAGAAACTTCTGTTTATTTTTTAAAATCTATTTTGTGATAAAAAAAAGATTAATTATGGCTAAATAGCATTATCAAATAGCAATAATAAATATTTTTTTAATATTAAAAAATAGTAACAGTAACCTCTAAGGAGGTATTAAAATAATTATGAAAAACTCTTTAAAATTATCAAAAATTTGTTAATAACATAATTCTTTTTGCAAAAATCATGTTGCAAGATGTTGTAAAAGAAACATAAATACATCAAATCAAAGGAAATAATTATAATCATAATTATAGGAAAAAGAAATATTTTTAAATTTTGATTCCATACTACTATATACCTTTCAGAGATAATGATTTGGATTTTGAAAAACAATAAAAATAAACATGGAATAGACCTTTTCTTTCTAAAGGAGCAAATAATTGAATTTAAATTTCAGCAATGGAACTCTTGTAAGTTAAAAAGAATTAATTTGCATATCAAATGTAAAAATATGTGTATTTTTATTGGTTTACTGTATGAATGTAAAAATAATTTATATCATGCAAATGTGCAATTTTGGCAAAGTGACTATCATGTTTTATTCTTGCATGCACTAAGTAGGAGCTGAAAGAAGTAATATTTCTCCACATTTGTCTCTTAAATATATTTTAATATTTCAAAATATTTTTATCACCCACTATACTATTTTCAAAAAATATCTCATCAAATTTTCCAATGTGCACTTTAGAACATTTGTTTACCTTACTAAAAAAACAAAAAATAAAACAAACAAGTTTGCAACTTATGCTATTCAACTAGAAACTGTTTTCCTTACAATATTCAGGTTGACAATTCATGTAATACTCGTGGCACAAGATTTATGAAACATCGACAAACCCTGATGTAGAAAAACTAACGCTGTTATAAAATTATAGATTTTAATTTTTGAGTTTGGCGAATCCAGTGGGAGTTTGAGAACAACAAAACACGAAACTAATAGAAACAATGCTGCAAAGAATCCAGCGCAGCTCAGAACACGTCAAGAAAGGTAGTTCATGTTTGAACGAGTGTTGGATATAGATCATTCAGTTTTAAATTCTGAGACCGAACTAATTCACAGGATGTAAGAGTTTCATCATCACGAGACGGAAAACTCGTTTAAAACTTCTCAAAAAAGTTCTCGACGAATTGCTGTTCTAAACTATCTATGCAGTTAAGTAATTAAAAGATCAAAATGTATTTTATTCTTTTTATTGTCATGAACATAAAGGTCTACATGTATATCTAGTGCTCTTCAGTTGATTCAATGGTTCTATTTCATCACAGTAAAAGAGGGTCGAGGGCAGTTTTATCCGAAAAGTAGATTGCTAAGGAGTTGTTAAATTTATGCATCATAAGAAGTTACTTATACAAGCATAATGTTCAAATCCCGCTCCAGATTCGTCTGGTGTTGTTGGAGTAGAGAAAATGCAAAGCTAAGAACGAAATATGAAAGAGAACAAAAAATAAAAAATGATCGAATATGTGAACTGATGCCACGGATCTCAGAATCAAAACGCCGACTCATGAAGAGACAATTCTAGTTGAGGAGGTATGCTCTCACTCGCCGCAGTACCAAGCCCAACTGCAGTACGAAAGCAGGTTTACAACGAGCACTGAAGTCCTGCTCGTATTCATGGAAGTCTCTTTTGTCATCATGCGCTAACAGCTCGTTCATATCGTCATACTTCCTTGTTCATGTCACGAGCTGAGGTTCTGGTATTTCGATTCATATCGATCTTCTTACCTGACACGCAGCCCACTGCATTAAAGCACTGATGCAAACGCGTTGCGATGCTAATCTATACTTCTTTCATACGTGAGAGAGGTCCTGTGCAGGGAGGGTCAGCACGATGTCTAGAGTGTTCAGGAATGCTTCCTCATGTGATCGATCTACTTGTGCTCTACTTACATCTACACTTAAACCTGATCCTAACGCTCTCACGAGGCTGACACGGAGTCCAAATCAATGTTTTTGCACTGAGTGAGTGAGTGTGTGAGTGTGTGTGTGGGGGGGATGTCTCCCAAGTGGGTTTTATAGGATTCGGTTGAAGTTGAGGTTTCAAATCTTCTATCTCATTTTTGGTTGTCGCACATGATGAATAATTATCTTTTAACATTCATTTTTAAGTCCAATACTACTTCAATTATAAACATTCTCTTGATAGTGATAAATTTGGCAATATTAACACAAATTTTATTATAAATCATCACCTCCAACTAACAGGTTCTTTTTTGCCACTTGCCTTATCTACTATTTCATAACATTACCCCATGCAATCTTTTGGTACAAAATATCCACTTCCACTCTGCATTAGTGTTTTAGAATAAGCATTGATTATAAAGTTGTACCTTTTCTATATATTTTTTATGACCTACTTCTACTGGTTTGTATTCTTCAATTGCATTGTGTTGTTTTATACAAGTGAATCATCCAAACTATCTAAACCTTCAAAAAATATATAATACTTTTAGCATTTTCTTTTGAAGAATCACTGTTTATTTGAGAAATAATACCACCTATTTTAAGATTGGCTCTTTCATTTTAAGAATATTACTAGTTACTTATATATTATTCTACTATTATTTTTTGTTTTGTTGTTGTTTTTTGGAGTTTTGTTTTAATTTTTCTTATCTTTCCTTGAAATAAGTTGAGTTATTTTTTATTTTTTATTTTTTGAAACAAAGGTGTTTATATTAGAAATCCATGTACTCACAAAAGGCTGGGGCTTGGAGTAGGCTCCATGTGCCTGCAATTGCAGAGAGTACTTTGAGCGTTGTTGTTTTGTGGGACGCCGTCCAAGTACCCTGTGAAGTTCCCCTACTGATTTCTAATCTTGATTGTTTGCGTTCCATAAATCCTTAAAGTATATGAGTTATTTGCATATCCAAGTACTCCCAAAAGAATAAGGAGAGTGTCCAAGCATGCGTTCTTGGGGTGTAAGTAGTTCTGCATTCCAAAAGAGACATTGTCAAGCCGTTGTATTGGCGATTGTTGATTGTTGAAAGGTAAGTCCTGATCGGATCTTTTTCTATGCCGCCCAGGTTGCCCACCATACCTCAAAACCTGATCTGTGAACCCGATCAGCAAATAGCATGAACTGGATGTGAGGAAGCCAGAGGGTAGTCGGTGTTGGAGAAATATTTTCCGAGGAACGAAACCTAGAAGCAGACCGCAGACGAGGAGCTTTGCCATCAGCGAGTGGATCTGAGCTTCCAGATCCAACAATCTTATTCCTTCGAGTTTGTGAAGGAGAATCAGTGAATCCCAAGCAACCTTAGCGCGACATTTCCGTTCCTCATCCTCTCCACTCCATATATAATTTCAAATGAAGGAGCAAACCTTCTTAATTGTGCGATGGGAGAGATTCCAGCACAAAGCAATGTACCGCACCAAGGCCAGTCGCACTTGATTGGCAATTAAGATTCTGTTGGCCGAAGAAAGTTTGGTTGTGGTCCAAAAAGAAAGCTTCTTTTTCAGATTTTTTAATGTAGCTTCAAACTAGGCCTAAAAGTCCATTGAAAAACCCAAATATCATGTCATCTCCCCTGGGGCTAGCCAACGCAGCTGTACATCTTCACCCCAACCGAAAGATCGCTGCTCATTTGAGATCCATTTGGCGTGAGATTTATCCCACTTAATTTGAGATCCTGCAGCTAAAGAAAAAATTGAGACCACCTCTTTGGTTTTGTCTAGATTTTCACGTGTACCTGCTAGATAAAAATTTGTGTCATCCGCAAACTCTTGGTCCTTGATTTGGCAGAGATTGTCTGGAAGTAGTATGCCTTAAACTCTTTTGTCACTCTCAATTAAATAACCTATGCAATCCGCTATGAACAAATAGAGGAAGGAGGGAAGTAGGCATCCCTGTCTTACTAAGTGCGAGAGCTTGAAAGGGTCACTTATCAATTCGTTAAGGCCCATTGAGCTCCATGCATCAATGTATAGTGGTCCATTGGATCCATACTAAA